ATCCGTTATTCTGTACTCACCATAAGAGTACATTCGACCCTGGTACATCATTGAGAAGTTGTTCCTTACTCTGTATTTATCTTCATACTTTATAGTGAAGGTAAATTTGGCGCATTCGGTCACACATGTTGTAAGTTTACCCTCAACTACGCCATAACCGTACTTTGTTATCAGCTTCTTTGTTGCCGAAATTATAACTCTAAAATTCTTAAGCACAGTGTGTTCCCATCGGTCGAACTGAGTGTATGTAATGGGTTTATTGCAACCTTTTCGATGCATTCTCGCCTTTATCCATTTATTGCGTACCTTCCAAACATTCCTTACGAAATTATCAGCAGAATTACAAATCTTTATGCCATCATTCAAAACTCGATACTCAGTGCAATCGTACACCTTGTTCTTCATGTGGAGTATTGAAAAGTCAGTCCGAACTTTGTATTCATCATCGTATTTTATATTGATGATTGAATCGTTGCACATTGATAGATCTTCTTGGGTATAATCTGTTGATTTGGGTTTGAACTTTTCATAGCATACAGAAGGTTTACCGTTTTTCACCCGATAGTCATTTCTTGTGAAATATTGACTGCTAGCTACGTAATAGACAGTGAACTGCTTATTCACAGTGTAATACTTGCTGGGCAACAAAAAGGTTCTAACGGGTTTATTGCAACTTTTTTGATGCATTCTCGCCTTTACCCATTTATTGCGTACCTTCCAAATATTCCTTACGAAATTATCAGCAGAATTACAAATCTGTATGCCATCATTCAAAACTCGATACTCAGTATAATCGTACACCTTGTTCTTATAGAGTATTGAAAAGTCAGTCCGAACTTTGTATTCATCGTCGTTTCTTATATTGATTATTGAATCGTTGCACATTAATAGATCTTCCTGGGTATATTCTGTTGATTTGGGTTTGAACTTTTCTCTGCATATACAAGGTTTACCGTCTTTCACCCCATAGTCGTTTCTCGTGAAATATTGACTCCGAGCTGCGTAAAAGACAGTGAACTGCTTATTCACGGTGTAATAATACCTTAGTTTCAACAGAGATGTTCTGATGGGTTTATTGCAATTTATTTTATGCATTCTCCCCTTTACCCATTTATTGCGTGCTTTCCAAATATTCCGTACGTAGTCTGAAGCGGAGTTACAAATCCGTGTGGTATCATTCAGAACTCGATACTCCGTATAATCGTACACCTTGTTCTTATAGAGTATTGTAAAGTCTGTCCGAACTTTGTATTCATCATCTTTTTTTATATTGATGATTGAATCGTTGCACATTAATAGATCTTCATGTGTATACTCAGATTTCGAATCAATTTCACGTCTGTTCCGGAGATGTTGTGTTGTGAGTGAAGCGAACTTTTCTCTTTTGGCTGTTCCTCTTAAGTCGTTCTCGTGAAAAATTTGATTTTCCAATGAAGACACGTTTTTACTGCCATTGTTTTGCCATTCTGTCTGACTTGAGTGGGAGATAGTTGTCGATTTTCTGCGTGGGACATTTACCTCAAACGGCGATAAAGTTGAAAAAGGCACTAATGGGCTCTTTTGTATTCTTTCACTTCGGAGTGTTTTCATCGCAGTTCCTAAAAATAAATTATGGTTAACAATTATTTCTTTTGAAGCGCTAACATTATCACATTTTCAAATTTTACCTTTTCTAACCATCTTTGAAAGATCAGTTTGCTTCCGCGCCTTGCGGCCATCGATTTGTTTCGAATTTTCTGTCAAGTTAGAGACGCGTTCGTCTTGTTCGAGAGAAACGTCAACATTCAAGGGTTTACGTTTGAATTCATATTTTAATTTGTTCCGTTTTGTTTTATCTTCTCGCCTGTCATACTCTGAACCACCACCATGATAAAAACAGGCGAAAATCAGACAGAAGGAAAAGAAAACGACTCGATACAAGATTCGAAAACTAAAGCCACGACCCATGTTGGAAATACAAGTGTCGTTCAGCAACTGCAGTGTATTATTTCAGGAAAACACAAAATTTTAAAAACGTTTTCAAGTTTGAGTTTTTTTTTTATTTCACCAGCTGTTCCACTGGTCATACACTTCATACATTCAAAACGCTAATAATTAAGGAGGCTCGTTACTGATATTAAAATTTCAGGTCGAACAGTTTGATATTCTTAAATTTCGAATTTTTACGTTTCGTGCTGGGGAATTAGGTTTTACATAATTTTTTATTTTGCCAAAACCATCGATGTATTTCCTGTACACTTGTCAAGTTTTCCTTGGCGGTGGTATATACACGAACGAATTTTCCTTGTCCAAAAGCTTAGCATTGGAACAAGGCTCCTTGGCAAGGAAGAATTGTCAATTGTTTGCCGTACACAGGACAGCAAATAAAATTTATCAAGGAACTATATAAGGATCCAAGGATAGTGCAAAGTTTCAAATTAAAAAAGATACTGCAAGTGTTTGGGGGCATAAAGTGAAAAACGAGTCTCATTAAAATCGAATCTTTAGGCATAATAAACTATGTTTGGGAGACTCCGCACTCCGTCTTTTCGACTATGCCTCTGAACCCTATTATCATTTCTATACTTCAGAGCGCCAACATGCGGGCAACACGCAATCAATCAATCATGCTTGACACGTGCTGTATGTGTGGTTTCAGCAATTTAGCACAGAGTATTACAGGCTTCTGTGCTTTCAGTGTACTGACTATGCTGAGTGTAGCCATCTATTCTATGGTGGCTCCTTATACAGTCGCTGTATAATGAATATACCGCCTAAATAATATCGGCACTTAATTGAATGCCGGTAATGCATACCATCAATTTATATATATTGAGTATAATCTCAAAGATTTTCTCGATATTTATACGTCTGAAATGTTTATACATTTGAAAACAACACTGTCACGATCCTTCCTACCTCTGTATAATGAATATACCGTCAAAATAATATCGGCACTTAATTGAACGGCCCGTAATGCATAACATCAATTTATATATTGGGTAAAATCTCAAAGATTTTCCCAAAAACACTGTCAACCTCCTGAACTTGTAATACACTCTAATCTACACGAACACGATTCCACACCGCCGCTCAATAGTCACCGCTTGTCCGTGTCCGCCATTGTAAAATGATATTATATGAGAGCACGTGTATTATTCACGTGTATTTATGTTGCAGGGGGGGGGAATCATATAATAACAAGCGCTTGAAATGTAACAGTAATTTGGTTATAACTTCTCTAAATGCTGGATAAAATAAGTAAGAACATATATCATCATGAATATAAATATAGACTTTTATAATCTATAAATAGCTATAAACGATTAGTTGGCCGAAGAACGTCGCGAAGCTCTAGAAAACGTACTAAAAATTATTCGCAAGCTCCCCCCGAATTGTTTACTCTATAGATCGATCCATTGATCGGTCACTGGATTCGATATTTATGTGCAGAAGAAAAATATACTAAATCCAGTTTCTTTGAGAGAAAAAAAATTTCGTTTTCTTCAAAATAATTTAAATTTTTTTGGCAAAACAGAATTATATATTGGCATTGTACAATTTTCTATTTTGGCATACAATGTGTAAAATTTGAACATAGCTATATGTCAATCAAGCGAAATATTAAAATATGCATGGCACTTATTAAGTTATTCATGCATGGCGTTCGCAATTAACACTTAAGCCTGGTTTCCATATGGCCGTAAAGATGGAGTTATGATCTTTCTCATCAGCCGAAATACAACATTTTAGAACTGAAAATACGCGGAGTGATTATAACTAGAGAATACTTACGATTTATATGTGGTTTCCAGATATAAATTCATTATAAACTGTCCGTTGAGAAAGATCGTAACTCTATTCTTACGAACATTACGACCATATGGAAACAGGCTTTAACAACCAACAGATGAAATGAAGCTGGATGGAGAGAGCAATTCGCAACGACTTTTTGTGGGTTTTTTATTGGTTATTATTTCCGGGCACACCAATAATCATGCAGGTTTATTGGCAATTCATAAGAAATTTCGTGAGCATTTATATGGCCCAACCACCTTGTCCCTTTAATATTGGACGTTGCATATAGTTCTACTCATCTTTCAATAGCTCTGACGATATTGTGTCGTATAGGCAATCAAGTGTTAATTTAATCCCATTTTCCGATTTTCTCGAATTTGTTCGCGCGGAGCGAAGTAAAAACAAATCATTGCAATGTGACTGTCAGCGAAAAAATTCGCCGCGAAAAAGTTGGATCAGTTCCTAGTAGGCAAAAACACTTTTCAGTTCAGAGTAATTCAGAGTGTAAACTGCCGGACTAGTGTGTTTAATAATATAGCGCTGAATAATCGATTTGACTAACTCACGGGCGTTCAATATGGATGACGTCAATACAATTAGAGTTAGTATATAAACTTTTACAAAATTTGCTTTTGTAAACACAAAAGTTATTTTCCCCTTAAATTCACAGAAAGATACATTTGTGTGATCTAGCTGATACAAGACGTTTTTGTAAAATTTAAAGCCTTACGAACGGAAATTTCCTTCAAAGTGGAAGGACGTTCATTGATATCCATCAATTCACTAGCCACTAACATTTATTAGCATTTTAATTATTGAACTTCTAGTAATATTCCTGCAAGTGCACTTCCAGTTCACACACAGGTCGAGAGTAAAAGTCGAGAGTCGACAGCAAAAAGTCGAGAGTCGATAGCAAAAAGTCGAGAGTCAACAAATCAAATGTTATCAGAAACAACAAAGTCAAAATATTTTTAACACTTGTAAGAGCCCTCCTCAATATATAGCCGTTCCGTAACAACGGCTGAACTACAAACTTTCGCATAAATATAGCTACAACAGTCAATAATAACGTGAACAAAAGACTGGATAAGAAACTAATATCACATGTGATGTCTCCATCTTGCTAAATTTTTTAACATGTCCTTTCATCAAATTTTGCTGCGTTTCAATCTAACTGACACATAAACGACCCCTCCGCTGAATTTTGACAGCCAACTCCGGGCTTGTAACTACCGCCGCTTGCAACTAAGGCTCGCCGCGGCGAGACTTTTTTTATTCATTGGTTTACGGATCCGCCGACCGTAAATATTCAGAAAGTAAAAAATAAAAATAATAAATTTGGATGTCAACAATTTTACAATTTTAGGAAATTTTAGTTAATTTGGGGTTCTGACATGAAGTTCAGACCAAGTAAACTTTGACTCTAAGTACTGCTGGCTCATGTTATCGTTGTGACAATCAACATGGAGATTAGCCATGTTTTTTGCGTTTTTGAAGCTAACGTTAAGAAACTTAATAGAGATTATTAAATTTGGTTCTCATTTATACTCAGTGTGTTTTGGGGTTTTTTTTTCCGACAAGTCAAATCCGTAAACCAATAAATAAGGGAAGTCTCGCCTAAGGATGAACGGTCGCAGATAAAACATTGTCTATTCTCATGACAAAGTTCAATGTTTTTACCGAGAAACGTCAATGTTTTTGATGATCATTTGATGGTTTCAATTCACTCAGCCAGCCACCTTGGAGCTGGTTGATCAGATTAAAGACCATTAAAACATGTCAAGTGCTCTTGACAAACATTGAAGTTCCCACGCAAATAGGTAATGTTTTTATGAGCGACCGTTCATTCTTTAAATAGTTGCACGCGACGGTAAAATGCCATTTAATTATAAACGTACATTTATATTAAACGAGAGCGTATGAAGTATTCTACGTTGAGTACAATCTAACGATTCATACAATTGTAAACTTATATATACGAGCCCAGTTAAAAGAGGATTCTTTGGTCGTTTTACTCTCGAATCTCGACTTTTACTGTCGACTTTTACTCTCGACCTATAGACCCATTGCACTGACGTCACAAATCCTTAGAGTGTCCTCCAGATGCTCCCTAACAATATCTGTTTGGGTACAACAACCACATACAGCGCAAAAATTAACCATTTTAATACAAAATTATTATAAAGTTTTACAAAATTTGCTTTGTTTACAAAAGTTATATTATGCATAGATTGCTAATTTGTCCTCCAGATGCATCGTCGCCGGCCCTATGACGTCATGTGCAATGGGTCTATACTCTCGACCCTCGACTTTTAGATATGTACACTCCTTCCTTGAGTAAACCTGAATGCTTTAATTTGCACTTTTGTAGTTCTTTCGTGTGTTTTGCTTATACAAATGGAAATTATTGGAAACACCCCCCACCCCCCCGGTTCCGACGGCCTTGTGCATATTTCACCAACTTGCAATTTCTTATTCAACTTGCATCACATTAAAATATAGACAGATCAACCTCGTTCCCAGGATCTTTTCCTCTTGTGGAGGAAAAACCGGTAATCGTTCCATGTTTCGCGCACCAATATAGTAAACGTTATGTAATGGATATTATAGTGTACTGAAAAGTTAACTGGATACCTCCATATACATATATACACACTCTAACCCTATCCCTAAACTTAAACCTAACCCTAACCTAACCCCTAACCCTAATACCTAACCCCTAACCCCTAACCCCTAACCCTAACTTATATTGGTGCGCGAAACATGGAACGATAACCGAAAAACCCTTGTCGGAGCTGGTCACGTGACCCATAATAAAAATTGACAGTCAAAGAGGATGATGGAAAAGTCTCATATTACATGTTTCCACTTCCGCACTTCACACTTCGATTGCAAGGAGTGGCCGTTCTGTACAATCATCTAATCATCTTTGAGAATCATATATACTTCAAAATACTTGCTATTAAAATTGATTTCTGTTTGCATGTAAATTATATACAAACATGCTAAAATGCAAATTCTTATAGCAACAGATAAGTCAGGAAATCAAGCAACGAAAACGTATGACCGTATGCTTTGAAATATTTGCCCTTTTATTTTCTTGGGGTTCGGGCGCAGTTTCATTTCACGCGTACGTTTCTGTTCTGGTTCAGATATTTATAATATTCTTATAATATGCCAATGAATTGTTGTCATATGGGAACGGTATAACTGTTGTTAAACAGAGGTCTCAAAAGCGACTGTGTAGGTCGTAGCGCCTTGCTGGTCTTATAGCAAACGTGACACATTTGGACACTAGCCAAATACACATTGAATGTCCATTCTATTGATTCTTAAACTGTTTATAGACATATTGCTCTAGATTTTTTTTAAAAAAGGTTATCATCGTTTATATTAAACACCAGGTAGGAAGACAAAATATAATGTATAAAATTGTTTGGGATCGACACTGCACAGCATACGACAATTCACAACTGTATGCATTTCCTCTTTTGTCTGCACGACTATCTGTTTGTTGAAGCCAAAATATTGCACAGCATCTCCTATAAATTCTATCGCCATTTGCCCTCGCCCCTTGAATGCTTGATCCCTACGTTTTATTGATTATTATTATTATTATTATTTTATTATTTTTTTTTAAATTTTTTTAATATTTTATATATGCTTTATTTTAAGAAATACTTTACAATATGCTGTTTAAAAATATTACGTTCTATATGTTACATGATAAAATAATTAAACTAGCTGTTCTTCAAAAAAAATTGTCTATTATAATATTAAGTAATGTTTGTTCATTTTATTAAAAATCACCATGCTTAATTATCAGTTCTAACGTCAATGATGGCATAGCTGGCTTTCCGAAAAGCCTAGTTCTACGTCCTTGCTTTTTATCTGACGTGCAGATTTCCTTGTACCTCGGATACAGGCAATAGCCGATCTCAAAAGGGCGAAAGAGAGGCAGCTGCAGCACCTCATCCATGCTAAAGCAGCACCATATTCTGACTTCCGTTTAATCGCTAATAATTCAGCAATTTGATTCTTTACCAAGATCACCACTGGTTGAAAAGATTAGGGGGGCAAGACGTAACTCGATTTCTCTTATTCTGTCACCATATTCTCTCTTCTTCATCTGTTCTTGATTTCTGTATAAGGAGGGAATACTGGAATTACGATAGCTTGGTGCGTTGGGATGAAACACCCTTATATCAAAAAATGCACTTTGCTGTCGACACCAGAAGCCTTTTGTCTTAATGTCTGATCTTGCTTCTTCTTTCTTATTTGCTGACTTGGGAAATATACTTTCCCCGGTAATAGGCTGTAGTTGCGGTTCTTTCTCGGTTTCACTGCACACCTCGCTCAACCAATCGGCAGTAATATCCCGAATCTCATTGTGACGAATAATTGTCAGACCACCATGTGGACAGATCATGGCATGATCTGTTGAGAGATTTACTCCACACACACAATGTTGTGCAACATTTTTCAACTGCCAATTATATCTTAGACATAAAGCGTCCCGAAATTCATTTAACAAATCCATTGTCCGTTGTTTTGAAGCAGGTAAACTTTCTCTAATAATTTTGGCCTTGCTCGCATGATGATTTGCTTTCTGTTGACGTAGCTTCGCTTTGATTTCACACAACAAATCTGGTTTTCTGTACGAATCAGATTGCTCGATTATCATTTTCTTCAAGGGCTCAGTGATCTTTCCAGATGCATCAAGTTGCAGACTAGCTTCTTCGACTGGATTTACGATGTTCACACCTCCATATCTTGTTGGCAGCGACAACAACTTTCTTTCTTCAATGGAACAATGACTTCTTCTCGTCAGTGCAGGAATAAGCTTCTCGGTTATAATATCTTCAATTGGTTGGAATAACTTTCCAACATTATCCACTGTCCGCATGATAAACTGCCACTTTCCCTTTATAGAATGAATAAAGGCTGCGTATACGCTGCATGGGGATATATTTCTGCTATCTTAACCAGAGCTTCTATTTCTTCTTTCCACATCTCTACTTTAGCTGCAACATAATCATCAACAAAACTGGGTGTACCGACGGCTGCGCCCAGAATACTATGACCAGCGGTTGTTATACGAATACCAGTATCTTGGAAAAGAGCAGTGGCGTGATGAACATATCCGGCTTTAACTACCAAGGTGGTTTTGCTTGGGTTTGGGTAATAGCCATATCCAGGTCCTACTGCTGTTAGATGTTGCCACCATCTTTTTAAGGCGCCAAGCTTCCCCGCGGATGTGGAGTCGTCTGCAAACCATACTTGTTTCGCGTTATTTGGTACTTCTTGACTTAAACTTTTAATTAGGGGTGTTATGGCGAGGGCGTACATGGCCATTGATAGTGGATCTCCCTGTGTTGTTCCCTCTAACGATAATATTTCATCACCGCCTGTAACAAATAATCTCGCTGGTTCTGAGTAAGTGTTATTAAGAACGGTAGATATAGCTGGACATATAACTCCAATGTTATGAAGGGCAGCTTTCCGATTTAAAGTATTACGCATTTGTCGCATCAATCAATAACATAGCTTCTGTCTGATCCATTGATTCGATTTCCTTCATTGCATGTATGGCAGCTTCGCAGCCTGCTTCGTGGCCAGCGCATGTTTGAAGGGTTCCAGCCGCTAACTTGATGTCATCACCAACTACTTTAAGAATAGCCTTCGCGATAATGCGTCTTGGAACTTCACCGATGCCAATGGGCTGAATTCCTGGTTCTTTATTTAAAGGAATTAAGGGACCGGTCATTATTTATGGCAGGGGTGGGGGCAGAAGAGAAAGTATAATGAAGCCGGAAAAAATCATTACCCCACCTTTTTCGAAACAAAATTTCTAGCTACCCCACCGGTGGAATGCCAGAAAATTTTTTTACCCCACCCAAACCTATTTTGTTGCAATGTCAAAGGTTCAGACATAAAATAT